AGAAAATCTATCACATTTGCGAGCTAACTAAAGAAGGTATTCACACCTCATAACTCTGAACCCCCACCCGAGACAATAAATAAAGTCAACGTCACCCTGGTTTATACTCATCAAATGGACCGACCCATAAAAATTTACTAAAGCAGAAGTAGCAATTTAAAAGTTAAGCCTGAAAAAATATCCCGGCTATAGTCTCATTACCAGCCCATTACCCAAAGTGGGTCCCACTTTTTCGACTTACTTCCTTAATGCTGTCCTTATTATGGGTTTATATCATCACCATGGAAGGTGTCACAAATAAAAATCATTCTCCACTTAGCTTATTACTCTTCCCTAAAAGATTACCTCCAATCATAGCAGAGCGAAAACTAATACCCAATTGAACAAGTCCCCAGGCTTGTTGAAAAGATTTCCTCTGCTTTCGATCAATTGTACTGCTGCCTTCCTTGATATTTCGCAAGCTTTCAATCGCGTTTGGTACGATGAATAAATTTATAAAGCTAAAACTACACTTCCAATTAATTACTATATATTTATTCAGCCCTACCTTGAAAATCGGTACTTTTTCGTCAAACGGGATATGGAACAGTCCAAACTTTATGAATTCTTGGCAGGCGTACCCCAAGAGAGTGTTATAGGCTCAGTCATATATTTATTATTAGCTCCCTACTTGAGAAGTAATCCCCGGCGGCACCTTTGCAGATAATACTGGGCGACTCCACCGTCACGGGTGGGACATTTGAACAGAAAAAATTGTTCTTTCCTGTTTAAATTTAAGTATAAAGTACTGAACAATCCTAAATTTTGATAAAGCTACACCTAATTGACTATTATATGAGTTATTACCAGGGAACGGATTTTTAGGACCTAAAAACTTATAAAAAAAAGCAAAATAAAATAACGAAATAGGCTGGAAAAGGCAAATTAAAATAGCGAAATGGCTGGAAAAGGCACTAGGTATTGCAAAAAAGGCAAAACAAAATAGCGAAAAAGGCAGGAAAAGGCACTAGGTATTGCAAAAAAAAGCAAAATAAGGCACTAAAAAAAGACAGAAAATACGAAGAACAGTCAAAAAATACATTTATTTTAGAAATGTTTATGTATATTACAAGTAAAAAGAGAAAAACTATGAAGTTTCATTATATGAAAAACTAGCAGACCCGGCGAACTTCGTCCCGCCCAAAATTTTTATATATTTTATTGAATCTTTTTGGTCCAAAATTTTCACCAACAATTCACGTTTACGATTTTCATTGGCACATTTGTCTGCTAAGATTAAGGTTTGGTGGTCATTTGCCGCTTTAAATAACCTAAGGAAAGTGTTATATCCGTTCTTGAAATTCTCCAGTTGTGCGGCATTTCATAGCACGGTTATTCGCAAAGCGATATAAATTTTTTCCTCTCCACTCCCTGGCGGCAACAATGACCCGGTTCTATAGTGAATGTCCTAGAAGCTTTACAGTATAGTACGTGGCAATTTCAAAATGGGTGCGAATCATTGTTCTACAGAAATGCAATATACATATACTTATTTCAGACGAAATACCTTAAAAGTTTGAACGCACAATAATATTGGAAAATCACATCCATTGGGCCAATTGCAACGCAGGATCGTCAATGGTACTCAATGGTGCAACAGGTCGATTTAATCTGACCTTCACGGCCCCTTTTCTCGCTTGGCTATTTTTAGTAATAGCTCGACTTCAGCACCACTTGGCAGCACGTTTTTGCAATAGTATTGCATACATATTTAAAATATTAGCCAAATCGGATCATAAATAAGATTTTAGTAATAACTCAACTATAGCGATAGGAGATCACTCACAAACACACCTACAGAAAAATAAAAAAATTCATTCAAAGATAGCTAAAGGTCGGTACGTTTGTAGGCCTCACACCCCTTTTCAAATAGCCCAAATTTTCTCCATGAGTATGGGCTTGATTTCAATTATATACATATCTCCATACGAAGTTCCAGTACTGTATATTCGATTTATATGGAAGGTGCCACGCCCCCCTTTCCAAGAGATGCCCTCTTTCTTCATGAGTATGCGATTGATTGCGTATATCTCCATACCAAGTTCCAGAACTCTACCATGAACACTTCCAAAATGGGCAGTATGAAAAATTCGGTTTGTATGGAAGATGCCACGCCCCCTTTTCCAATAGTTCCAATTTTTCTCCAAGAGTATGCGATTTATTTCGTACATCTCCATACAAAACTCTAGAACTCTACCAAAAAATTTCCAGAGATAAGCAGTATGAAAAATTCGGTTTGTATGGGAGATGTCACACCCTTTTTACAATAGCTAAAATTTTTCTCCAAGGGTATGCGATTGATTTCGTATATCTCCATACCAATTTCCAAAACTCTACCATCCACACTTTCAGAGATATGTAACATGAGAAATTCGGTTTGTATGGGAAGTGCCACGCCCCCTTTACATATAGATTTTTTCAGCCTAAAACCATCCTTGGGACACGTGCGGCAGGTGGCAGTTTCAACAAAAACCAGTTCAGCCGCTCTCGAGCCTTGCAAAAACTAACAAACGGCTTTCTAAATATACATTGGTTGAGATATATTATATATTATAATTATATTTTGACAGTATCCGTTGTTTCTGATTGGCGCAAAAAAATCTTGCCTAGTGACGAATTCGCCCCTTGATATGGTCGTTACTTAAAGCTATTTATATTCGAAATTGCATGAAAATTGGAAAACAGGAATCTATAAGCTTATCCAGGCAAAAAGCTACCTACGTACCGAATTTTAAGCAAATCGGACCATAAATACGATTTCTTCGAACAGATCGGTCCCTGGTCCACTTCTCGGACAAAACGGATCATATATGCTAACATATGCTAAAAAGCTACCTACGTACCGAATTTTAAGCAAATCGGACCGTAAATACGATTTTTTCGAATAGATCAGTCCCTGGTCCACTTCTCGGAAAAAACGGATCATATATGCTAACATATGCTAAAAAACTACTTACGTACCGAATTTTAAGCAAATCGGACCATAAATGCGATTTCTTGGAATAGATCGGTCCCTGGACCACTTCCCGGAAAAAATGGGTCATATATGCTAATATATGCTAAAAAGCTACTTACGTACTAAATCTTAAGCAAATCGGACGAAAATAAGATTTTTTCGAATAGACTGGTCCCTGGTCCACCTACCCGAAAAAAAGCTATTTGTATACAAAATTTCATGAAAATCAAACCAGCCGTTCGCGAGGTTACCTGTTACAAAAAAAAGGGACTTCTCTTTATATAATTAGTATAGATTTGTACTTTGAATCTTTGGCTATTTTATCCTTTCGAGTTTCTCACTCATAAAACTTTAATCTGTATAGTTGTAGTACCATTGAACCACAAGATGCATTTTTAAGTTTTCTGGCAGCATTTTCATTAGATTTTTGCGCGAAGAAAAGCCTTGAATGTACTAAATGTGCGCTCGACGTAAGTTGATACAAGTGGAGCCCAATTTAAATATAGAACGTTTGAAACGTTCATATTATCAGGAATAAGGGTGTTTTCCTCGCCCTTTAAAATTGTATCCACGCCCCTTATTGTCTCCAAGCCTACGTTAGCTGAGAAAACGGCTTTGAATTTTTCCAACACAAATTTGGCAAGAGGTCCCTGCGCTTCTATAAGCCGCATGGGCATGTGTATATTTTTTTAATCTTAAAAAAAA